TTATAGTGAGGCAGGTGGATGGATAGTGAGGCAGGTGGATGGATAGTGAGGCAGGTGGATGGATAGTGAGGCAGGTTGATGGATAGTGAGGCAGGTGGATGGATAGTGAGGCAGGTGGATGGATAGTGAGGCAGGTGGATGGATAGTGAGGCAGGTGGATGGATAGTGAGGCAGGTGGATGGATAGTGAGGCAGGTGGAACATTTGATTAAAGAGGTTGGGGGAGAAATTGATAGTTAGGTTCATTGAACATGTGCAGCAATAAGTAGCAGGTAAGACATGAGACAGAACAAAAGACGTTCACAGTGCACAGTAATGGAACGTGAGCAAGTGAAGTTACAAGCTGAGAATGAAGTGAGCAGTAGAAGCTACATATGATTACAGTGATGGATAGTGAGCAGTAATGATAGTAGGCAGTGGACTGGATAGTCCGGTAATGAACGTGAGATACAAGTAGAAGTTAAGATCACAGTAATGATACGTGAGGCACAGTGAGAAGTTACAGCCACAGTAATGGAAGTGAAGAACAAGTAGAGACGTTCACAGATCACAGTAATGAAACGTGAAGAAAAACAGTAGAACGTTCACAAGATCACAGTAATGAACGTGAAGAACACAGTAGAACGTTCACAAGATCACAGTATTGAACGTGAAGAACACAGTAGAACGTTCACAAGATCACAGTAATGAACGTGAAGAACACAGTAGAACGTTCACAAGATCACAGTAATGAACGTGAAGAACACACTAGAACGTTCACAAGATCACAGTAATGAACGTGAAGAACACAGTAGAACGTTCACAGGATCAGAGTAATGAACGTGAAGATCACAGTAGACCGTTCACAAGATCACAGTAATGAACGTGAACACAGTAGAACGTTCACAAGATCACAGTAATGAATATGAAGAACACAGTAGAACGTTCACAAGATCACAGTAATGAACGTGAAGAACAGTAGAACGTTTACAAGATCACAGTAATGAACGTGAAGAACACAGTAGAACGTTCACAAGATCACAGTAATGAACGTGAAGAACACAGTAGAACGTTCACAAGATCACAGTAATGAACGTGAAGAACACAGTAGAACGTTCACAAGATCACAGTAATGAACGTGAACACAGTAGAACGTTCAAAAGATCACAGTAATGAACGAGAAGAACACAGTAGAACGTTCACAAGATCACAGTAATGAACGTGAAGAACACAGTAGAACGTTCACAAGATCACAGTAATGAACGTGAAGAACACACTAGAACGTTCACAAGATCACAGTAATGAACGTGAAGAACACAGTAGAACGTTCACAAGATCACAGTAATGAACGTGAAGAACACTAGAACGTTCACAAGATCACAGTAATGAACGTGAAGAACACAGAACGTTCACAAGATCACAGTAATGAACGTGAACACAGCAATGAACGTGAAGAACACAGTAATGAACGTGAAGAACACAGTAATGAACGTGAAGAACACAGTAATGAACGTGAAGAACACAGTAATGAACGTAAAGAACACAGTAATGAACGTGAAGAACGCAGTAATGAACGTGAAGAACACAGTAATGAACGTGAAGAACGCAGTAATGAACGTGAAGAACACAGTAATGAACGTGAAGATCACAGTAATGAACGTGAAGAACAACAGTAATGAACGTGAAGAACGCAGTAATGAACGTGAAGACACAGTAATGAACGTGAAGAACGCAGTAATGAACGTGAAGAACACAGTAATGAACGTGAAGAACGCAGTAATGAACGTGAAGAACACAGTAATGAACGTGAAGAACACAGTAATGAACGTGAAGAACGCAGTAATGAACGTGAAGAACACAGTAATGAACGTGAAGAACACAGTAATGAACGTGAAGAACGCAGTAATGAACGTGAAGAACACAGTAATGAACGTGAAGATCACAGTAATGAACGTGAAGAACGCAGTAATGAACGTGAAGAACACAGTAATGAACGTGAAGAACACAGTAATGAACGTGAAGAACGCAGTAATGAACGTGAAGAACACAGTAATGAACGTGAAGAACACAGTAATGAACGTGAAGAACGCAGTAATGAACGTGAAGAACACAGTAATGAACGTGAAGATCACAGTAATGAACGTGAAGAACGCAGTAATGAACGTGAAGAACACAGTAATGAACGTGAAGAACACAGTAATGAACGTGAAGAACGCAGTAATGAACGTGAAGAACACAGTAATGAACGTGAAGAACGCAGTAATGAACGTGAAGAACACAGTAATGAACGTGAAGATCACAGTAATGAACGTGAAGAACGCAGTAATGAACGTGAAGAACACAGTAATGAACGTGAAGAACGCAGTAATGAACGTGAAGAACACAGTAATGAACGTGAAGAACACAGTAATGAACGTGAAGAACGCAGTAATGAACGTGAAGAACGCAGTAGAACTAAGAAAGGTCAAGCAATTATTGACCACATTAAGATAATAGTAAAGTAACATCACTTAATTCAGGGAGTTACGCCTCTCCTCACCTTCCTCGGATCCAACCTGATTGCCTCACATTTAGTATATCATCAATAAGAACAGTTGAGTTGGAGGAGCTATCATCACCAACGTCACTTTAGCGTCATCAACGTCGGCGTAGTATCACCAACGTCACTGTAGCATCATCAGCGTTAGTGTAGCATCAGCGTCAGTGTAGCACTATCAACATTATGTAGGGTCATCAGCGTCAGTGTAGCACTATCAACATTATGTAGTATCATCAGCGTCAGTGTAGCACTATCAACATTATGTAGGGTCATCAGCGTCAGTGTAGCACTACCAACATTATGTAGGGTCATCAGCGTCAGTGTAGCACTACCAACATTATGTAGTATCATCAGCGTCAGTGTAGCACTATCAACATTATGTAGTATCATCAGCGTCAGTGTAGCACTATCAACATTATGTAGGGTCATCAGCGTCAGTGTAGCACTACCAACATTATGTAGTATCATCAGCGTCAGTGTAGCACTATCAACATTATGTAGTATCATCAGCGTCAGTGTAGCACTATCAACATTATGTAGGGTCATCAGCGTCAGTGTAGCACTATCAACATTATGTAGGGTCATCAGCGTCAGTGTAGCACTATCAACATTATGTAGGGTCATCAGCGTCAGTGTAGCACTACCAACATAATATAGTATCATCAGTGTCAGTGTAGTCATTGAGTTATTAGTACCGATTCTTACAAGAATTGCAGTACATGAGCCGTGCCTTCACATGCTTGCACTTGCCTCCCTTCTATATACAAGATTGTTCACTCAGAGCCATGACTGTACTCAACTCTATCATCAGTAGCGCCCCCGAGAAACACAGATTCCTAACTCTGCCTGCAGGAAATATAGCCAACAACATCAGACAGATAATTTCAAGAGGGTCTTCCATCAGATACTTCACCAGCAAGAAAGATCTCTATGGTAAGTTTAACCTTGAAGCAGAAATGTATACTATACCACACGGAAGGTGCAACAAGTTCACTGTTGGAAGAACAGGGAGGAATCTTTCCAGGCAAGTCCTACAATACAGAAATGTGTTCAAACGGGACACCAAAATTGCTTGCGTGTTGCACTGGAGGAAAACAGAACTGATCTCCAGGGAATCTAGGATTGATGGGCGTCACTTTTTTTGAAGCATTCTTAATTGCTACTGCCAACACTGTTCTCTCATTCTTTAGTATCATTTGGGATGACCAAGGTCCCAGGATGGAAACGTATCCAGTAAAGATGTCCAGAGTGTCTGCACTTGTTTCCTTTCATCCATATTGTCGGTATCGTTATACCTTCTACATTTTTACTGATCAAAGTTTGAGGTGGATAGATGGGAGATGACAACCCTGATCGTTAACCATGGTCACGTTCACTAGTGCACATGTTCAGTCTTGTGTTTGCAACCACATGCGGTAGTTGTGTGTGTTAGTGTGTGTGTGTGTGTGTGTGTACTCACTTATTTGTACTCACCTATTTGTGGTTGCAGGGGTCGAGCCATAGCTCCTGGCCCCGCCTCTTCGCTGTGTGTGTGTGTGTGTGTGTGTGTACTCACCTATATGTGTGTGTGTGTGTGTGTGTGTGTGTGTGTGTTCGTTCAGGTTTGGAGACCTCTTAACTCATTAGGAACACGCACACTCCTTTGCTGTCCACCTCACTAATTAAGGGTGATTGACGAGGCTCGTGTGGTGGCTGTTCGACGTTGTTCTTAACCTCAGTGTTCACATCTGCGTTACCTTATTAATCACAGCTACGCCTGTGTCCTAGTGGGACGTTTTGTGTGTCCACATGCTACCTGCCGCTCTCAACCACGATGTCCGCCTTCTTTAAGATACTCCGAAACGTAATCTTTGGCCCCTTCCCAACAAGATGCATCCAATACGACACATCCAATAAGAAACATCCAGTAAGAGGCATCCCTGGCGGCGGCGCGGGAGTTCAAGGGCACAGCTGAGAGATATGACTGGAGGTGCCTCAGGGTAGTGACAGGTGTGTGACGAAGACACGTGACCTCAGGCCTGCCTGTGACCGTCCTACAGTGACTGTGTAAACTTGCATCTCTCACTTGCACATCAACAAATTCCAGACCACACCCAGTGGTTACTGTTCGCCCGCAGACACTGAGGTGTCTTGTCACACCCAGAATTGCCCCACTGTGAGGTGGCTTTACTAGATGGTCTGCCACGATGATCGCTATCATTTACTGGTACTCCGAGACAGTAAAGACTTAATGACTCACACTTGCAACGTTTCCAGTACACTCGCTGGTAACCCTTAAGTCAACACGCTGTGTATGTAGATTTATGCGTCACCGAGGCCATGTGTTTGTGTTAGTGGGAGGGATTAATTAGTATTCGTAGTGTCCATCTCCACCAGTGAATTGACGGTGTTATGTTCATGAGGGTCAGAGAGTCCTGCTACTTGCCCAGGATGGTAGTATTAATTTGTCTTGTTTTCTTGCAGAAGCGGTGAGTGAAGGGAGAACAGCAGAGGAGCACTGAAGGTCAGTTACACTAGTAGAAAAAACAGTAGTAACAGCAGTAGCAGGTGAGAGGGAACACCCAAGAGTGATGTTGGTAGCCATCCCTTGCCCCAGCTCCCACTAAGTCTCCGTGGACACAACTACTCTTGCCTGAACGTCCCCTTAGGCAATGCACCAAAGACACATCTTCAGGGAGTCCAAATGGTTGCTAGTGCTTGTGCGTGTGAATAACTTAATCAACAAGCTCATTATGGCTTAAGATGAAAATAACGAAGTGTTTACACTCCCTGACAGTGTTAATTCGCCTGGGTAAACGGTAACTCTACTAAATGGATCACTTGCAGAGTTACTGGGGCATGTGTGCGTTTTTCAAGACTCGCGTTATATGGGACAGATACCCACTTATCAAGATGTAGTTCTTTTCTACTGCGGCACGCGCGTACAATTGACGTATCTGTGTAATGTAAAGTTATTTGAAGAACCTTTTTCTGTGTGAGAGTGTGAGGCTGGGAAAGACAGCCTCAGCCAGATATCAGACTAGGAATCAGGAAAGAGAGCAGGGTGTTTATCAGGAAGATCAGGAGCGGGCACGGGCCCTCAGCTACTGTTCCCCGGTGAAGCTACTTGATCTTGCCGCTGCTACCAGCAACCTGCGCTACCACCACTACCAGCAACCTGCGCTACCACCACTACCAGCAGCAGCAGTACACCATGCGGGGGGCGGTGTGTGTGGTTGTGGTGGTAGTCACCTTGTTTTGGCAACACGTGGCAGCTACCTGGTGGTAAGTACACACCCACACACTCATAACACTCTTTACTCCCTCCCATACTTTCTTTCTCTTAATTATAGCAACTTAATAATATACTATTTAGTTTTTCAGCTGCTTAAGTGAATTATTCTGTAAATGCGAACAAGTTGAGGTAATGTCAGTAATAACAGTAACAAAATCATCTATATATTGTCAGTGCTGTGGTGGGCACATTACCACTGCAACACACGTTACAAAACCTGTAACCGAGTACTCCTGAATTCACAGAATTATGGAAGGCCGCTGATTGCTCACGTAATTAATGTGTTGTACAGCCACAATGCCAGCTGGGGTTGTGGCTAATCTTTGTCTATATGATGCACATTATTTTACACTGTTGTCGATGCAAAGTGATGTTGATAGTGAAGTTATGGCAACAGTATAAAGTGAGGAATCACGCAAGCGTAAACTTAAGACGCACGATATTTCATAGTATAGGTTAAATTAAATGATACATGTTAAACGCTAAACCCCTGTGAATCATTCAGTGCAAGACGTGGTGGAGGCTTGATCCTCCATCTACTGAGCCCCAGAGGAGCTTCCTGTTTGTACTCGCCTATTTGTCAACTTCGTAGTATAGAGAAAGGTTAGGTTTAGAGGTTCTATGAAACCGGGGTAATTTTAAGGTGTGAGGAACATTTAAACGTGGGGTTGAGAACGTTTGAAGAAGGTGCAGAGAATGTTTGAAAGTGTAAGGAACGTTGGAAAGTGTAGGGAACGTTGGAAAGTGTAGGGAACGTTGGAAAGTGTAGGGAACGTTGGAAAGTGTAGGGAACGTTGGAAAGTGTAGGGAACGTTTGAAGGTGTAGGGAACGTTGGAAGGTGTAGGGAACGTTGGAAGGTGTAGGGAACGTTGGAAGGTATAGGGAACGTTGGAAGGTGTAGGGAACGTTGGAATGTGTAGGGAACGTTGGAAGGTGAGGAACGTTGAAGTGTGGAACGTTGAATGTAGGAACGTTGGAAAGTTAGGGAACGTTTGAAGGGTAGGGAACGTTCAGAAGTTGTAGGAACGTTGGAAAGTGTAGTGACGTTTGAAGGTGTAGGGAACCCTTTAAAGTTTAGGTAACGTTTAAGGTGTAGGGAACGTTTGAAGTGTTAGGAACTTAAGTGTAGGGAACGTTGGAGTGTAGCAAGTTGAAGGTGTAGGGAACGTATTGAAGGTTAGGGCACGTTGAAAATTTAGGATTCTTGACGTTAGGGAACGTTGAAGGTGTAGGAACTTGAATGTAAAACGTTGAAGTTAGGAACGCTGAAGGTTAGGGAGTTGGAAGGTGTAGGAACGTTGGAAGGTTGGGACGTTGGAAGTGTAGGGATTCGTTGAAGTTAGATCGTTGAATGTAGGAACTTGAAGGTGTAGGGAACGTTTGAAGTGTAGGAACGTTGGAAGGTGTAGGAAGTTGGAAGGTGTAGGAACTTGAAGTGTAGGAAGTTTGAAGGTTGTAGGACGTTGGAAGGGTTAATGATAGCATAACGTCAACCTTCAAGGACTCTTAAGTGATTCCAGAAATTTAAAGTTTTCTGAAAGGTGTTGTTCTTATACACCTGATAACACCTTACTACTAATTTTGCACTTACTAATGTATGTTTCGCACTACAATTTAGATTTTTTATAATTAAGGTTTGCACTACAATTAAGGTTTCGCACTGCTAATTAAGTTTCGACTGTAAATGATTTCTCTACTTAAATTAAGTTTCGCATTGCTAATTAGGTCGCACTGTAATAAGTTTCGCCACTTATAATTAGGGTTTCGCCACTTACTAATTTAGATTCACTTACTAATAAGGTTCGCCACTTACTATTTAGGTTTCGTCACTTACTAATAAGATCGCACTTCTGCATTTGTTGTGAAAAAGCAAGCAAGGCATTACTACACTGTGATTATAGTGTGAGAACATGTCTTCAGAGGGTAAATTACCGCTCAATAACTTGACACGTCACTCTAGCCTCGAGGAGGTTGAGACCTGTCTGAGTTTTATTAATAGAGTTTACAGGTCTAAAATTCAAACTGTAAGTTTGACTGTGTAAAATATTGCAAGAAATGAACAAGAATCTGCTGATGGACGCTGTGTAAGCTTCGAGCTTTGAATAGTTGTGTACTGAACGTGTGAACATGAGGATCACTGTATGTGAGCGTGAAGATCACTATATGTGAGCGTAAGCATCACTATATGTGAGAGTGAGGATCACTGTGTGAGAGAGAGGATCACTGTGTGAGAGTGAGGATCACTGTGTGATAGAGTAAGGATTATATATGAGCGTGAGGATCACTACATGGCAGAGTACAAATCTCCAACACTTTGTAGTGTATATGATTATTTATTGGTGAGTACGTAGTTATAGTTACAGGAGTAGAGCTGTCTATAAACATGGTGCTCTGTCTGTACGATTTAGAGTTTAAATAGTAGAGCTGTGCTAGTGGTGTTATGTCCTCAGTGTTTGTAGTTACAACAGGAGAGCTGTGCTAGTGTTTGTAGTTACAACAGGAGAGCTGTGTTAGTGTTTGTAGTTACAACAGGAGAGCTGTGCTAGTGTTTGTAGTTACAACAGGAGAGCTGTGCTAGTGTTTGTAGTTACAACAGCAGAGCTGTGCTAGTGTTTGTAGTTACAACAGAGAGCTGTGTTAGTGTTTGTAGTTCAACAGCAGAGCTGTGCTAGTGTTTGTAGTTACACAGGAGCTGTGTTAGTGTTTGTAGTTACAACAGAAGCTGTGCTAGTGTTTGTAGTTACATCAGCAGAGCTGTGCTAGTGTTTGTAGTTACCAACAGGAGAGCTGTGCTAGTGTTTGTAGTTACAACACAAGCTGTGTTAGTGTTTGTAGTTACAACAGCAGAGCTGTGCTAGTGTTTGTAATTAGAGCAGCAGAGCTGTGCTAGTGTTTGTAGTTACAACAGGAGAGCTGTTAGTGTTTGTAGTTACACAGAAGCTGTGCTAGTGTTTTGTAGTTACAACAGGAAGCTGTGCTAGTGTTTGTATTACAACAGGAACTTGCTAGTGTTGTAGTTACAACAGGAGAGCTGTGCTAGTGTTTGTAGTTACAACAGCAGAGCTGGTTAGTGTTTGTAGTTGCAACAGGAGAGCTGTGCTAGTGTTGTAGTTACAACAGGAGAGCTGTGCTAGTGTTTGTATTACAACAGCAGAGCTGTGCTAGGTTTTGTAGCTACAACAGCAGAGCTGTGCTAGTGTTTGTAGTTACAACAGGAGAGCTGTGCTAGTGTTTGTAGTTACAACAGGAGAGCTGTGCTAGTGTTTGTAGCTACAACAGGAGAGCTGTGCTAGTGTTTGTAGTTACAACAGCAGAGCTGTGCTAGTGTTTGTAGTTACAACAGCAGAGCTGTGCTAGTGTTTGTAGCTACAACAGGAGAGCTGTGCTAGTGTTTGTAGTTACAACAGCAGAGCTGTGCTAGTGTTTGTAATTAGAGCAGCAGAGCTGTGCTAGTGTTTGTAATTAGAGCAGCAGAGCTGTGCTAGTGTTTGTAATTAGAGCAGCAGAGCTGTGCTAGTGTTTGTAATTAGAGCAGCAGAGCTGTGCTAGTGTTTGTAATTAGAGCAGCAGAGCTGTGCTAGTGTTTGTAATTAGAGCAGCAGAGCTGTGCTAGTGTTTGTAATTAGAGCAGCAGAGCTGTGCTAGTGTTTGTAATTAGAGCAGCAGAGCTGTGCTAGTGTTTGTAATTAGAGCAGCAGAGCTGTGCTAGTGTTTGTAATTAGAGCAGCAGAGCTGTGCTAGTGTTTGTAATTAGAGCAGCAGAGCTGTGCTAGTGTTTGTAATTAGAGCAGCAGAGCTGTGCTAGTGTTTGTAATTAGAGCAGCAGAGCTGTGCTAGTGTTTGTAATTAGAGCAGCAGAGCTGTGCTAGTGTTTGTAATTAGAGCAGCAGAGCTGTGCTAGTGTTTGTAATTAGAGCAGCAGAGCTGTGCTAGTGGTGTCATGTCGTCAGTGTTGTTGGTGTCTCCTCTGGCTACCATAGTTTAAAGTACGTTTTGGATTTTTTGTTTTTCCAATTTCTTTTTGTGTGCGAAACCTGATACGTGGTTTCCACCTTGTCGATGTTTACCTCGGATGGATTTCTCTGATATCTGTATTTTAGCAAACATTTCTTAAATTTGTAAACATTTTTTTATGTTAATAGATAACATTGCTAGTCTTTAAGACAGTGTTGTATCAATGTTAATCTTTGATGAGCCTAATGTTATTAACATTGTCCAGTATACCATATGAGTGCCTTGTAAATACGGGTATATTACTTCATGCTCCGGGGAGAACTGGAAGGTTAAGCCGGGTTCATAGTGTCTTCAACCACTGGAAGGTTAAGCCGGGTTCATAGTGTCTTCAACCACTGGAAGGTTAAGCCGGGTTCATAGTGTCTTCAACCGCTGGAAGGTTAAGCCGGGTTCATAGTGTCTTCAACCACTGGAAGGTTAAGCCGGGTTCATAGTGTCTTCAACCACAGGAAGGTTAAGCCGGGTTCATAGTGTCCTCAACCACTGGAAGGTTAAGCCGGGTTCATAGTGTCTTCAACCACTGGAAGGTTAAGCCGGGTTCATAGTGTCTTCAACCACTGGAAGGTTAAGCCGGGTTCATAGTGTCTTCAACCACTGGAAGGTTAAGCCGGGTCCATAGTGTCTTCAACCACTGGAAGGTTAAGCCGGGTTCATAGTGTCTTCAACCACTGGAAGGTTAAGCCGGGTTCATAGTGTCTTCAACCACTGGAAGGTTAAGCCGGGTTCATAGTGTCTTCAACCACTGGAAGGTTAAGCCGGGTTCATAGTGTCTTCAACCACAGGAAGGTTAAGCCGGGTTCATAGTGTCCTCAACCACTGGAAGGTTAAGCCGGGTTCATAGTGTCTTCAACCACTGGAAGGTTAAGCCGGGTTCATAGTGTCTTCAACCACTGGAAGGTTAAGCCGGGTTCATAGTGTCTTCAACCACTGGAAGGTTAAGCCGGGTCCATAGTGTCTTCAACCACTGGAAGGTTA